TCTGTATCTTCATCTAAATTTGCTGTTGCTGCATTTCTTTTTTTTGTTAGAATTAAAATCCAGGCTCTAACGCACCAGGTTTGCCGGTGCAATCATGCGTTTTTGCGATAAACTTACGGCAATCAGAACATCAACAACACAAATGTCTCCTACAGTTTAACATTTAGACAAATGTTAGCTGTATTTTAACCAGTATTTTAGCCAGTAGTGCAGAGGGAAAGGGCTTCGTTTAGGATGGTAGTATTGTACCACGGGGCCGCGTGCATCTCCAGCATGCACGATTATCAGTTTTGCATGAAGACCGGTCGTTTTCTCGGCGAGCGGCAAATATTCTGGAAAAGTAAGTATTTCCCGGACGGACAACAAGTATTCTGAAGAAATTTCAGCTACTGTTTTCCAGTTTTCGAGTTGGCATAGTGCCAATTAAGAAATCTGACGTGTCTGCACAGTTAACATAGGTGTGCGCAACAGCTGAATTTGAAACGTTCAGCTCACACACGGACAGGGAACATCAGTATGGAATTCAAGCTTTCTAGCTTGTCTGGTTTTCGAAATCGTTCCTTCGCTAAAAAATTTGGCATGTTTTTCTCCGGCATTCGTACATGGGATCCAGACTACGTGAGCAATGATTTCAAGTTGCAAGGATGACAAAGATGATGAGAGCACGCTCGCAAAATTTTAGCTTTCCGGCTTCTCCGGTTTTGGAGTTGAAATTCGGTAACAAAGTTAACCCCTCCCCTTCCTCCAACCATACGCACACACACACACACGCACACACACATATGTATATATATGTATAAACATATACGTATACACATGCACACAAACATATCTGATCCTCTTTCACCCGTAACTTACATCCATCGGGAAAAAGACGGGCACGGTGAAAAAGCGTGAAAAAGGCGTGAAAAAGACGGGCAATGTACAGTGACTATAATTTAAAGACCTTGCTGAGTGCTCGGAGGAGGAGATTGAATTCCGGCCGCTAGATCTACCATTGCTCTCAGGCATTCGGTGTTCGTCATCGAAACAACGCCTTCTTCCTCGAAAATGCCAGTGTCACTGCAAATAGTTCCAAACATTAGCATGGCATTTTTGAGCAATAACATTTTTGTAGGAAGTACATTGACCGAAAATGAACGATCTGACACAGCGTCGCAATTTTACCTCAGTATCGAGTCTACACGGTAACTGTCCAGACAATCTTGATAAATCTTGACAGTTTTTCGCAAAATGCGATTTGAATACCCACACGAAAAAGACTGTCTAGACACACGACTAACTACAAACCAAATAGCACAAGCCTGCCGAGACGGCACTACGCTTGCACACTCAGGCCAAGACGGAGCCGAGAAATACACAGCCTGTTTTGAATGGTGCACAAAGTCAGAAGATGACACATGAAATGACCAAGACTGAGAGGCCTAGATCGTCTCATGGACTCAGAGCCAGAGTAATTCTGATGATCCGAGAGATATTATATTGTTAAGCAAAATGTTCTACAATCGACTGCAAATGATGAAGGAGAAAATTGACCAGTATTACTGTGGCCTAATTAACTCTATTTTCATGCGTTTTACATATTTATGCAAATGCAAAAAAAATGCATTATGGCAAGAGGCTGTCTGGTACTGTGTTTGCATTTTGTCACCCAATTT